ATAATTTGGGTTCTATAAAATTTTTCACCTGCACGTTTTCTTTTTTTCTTAATTGCGTAACAGCAGCGTAACGGATAAATATTATTATTACCGTTACATTGTATACGAACGTTTTCGTGCATGATTTTCGCATTAGGTAACTAATGTGTATTGGTATTATTGTTTTCGCATTATAAACTGAGCACTGATCTTTTTTTCCCCGAGACTAGAACCAGACTACAATGATGTGAACCGCATAAAAATAAATACCAAGGTTATCCGTGACAAAATTGACAATTATTGTTCTCTCTCTCCTTTTTTTTTTCTTATTAATGGTCGAGATGAAGTCACAGGTTTCCATTTGAGACGTGACAATTCGTATTATTTGGCGACTGAAACCGTTGTCTAGGTGAATTTATGTATTGTAAAGAATTTCGTTCAACCAAAAACTCAAATGTAGCTATGGCCTCGGCAATGTCAAATATTAATTAAACGTCGAGTGCGATGAAAAAAAAAAACTGTTAAAGTTGACAGAAAAAGCACGATCGAAAAAAAAAAATGTAAATATGTTTATTTATGCAATTTATTTTGTACACATAATTAAAACGTATGTGGTGCGGTGTTGGTTTATGTTATGAATAGGTAATTTAATATTATATTTCCTTATTTTACAAAAATATCTTAAATTATACTATTATTCGTCACACTTAAAAAGAAGAAAATATTTCTTAAAAAAATATTGTTTACTTCACAGTTTACACCTATTACGATGTTTCACTATACATGTTTATATTATTGTAATATGTTCTTGTTATTATTTGTTTTAAAAATATAATTATTACAATGAACCGTTTTACATTTTCATCTGTTTTAATTTATTCCCATGTAAACACTAATTTAATTAATTCCCATATAAATTAAATATTATTATATTTAAATATGTATTATTGTGTAATTCTGATTAAAAACTAATTTAACATCTCTATAGCTACTAGTTTTTAAATACAAATTTTATGGGAATAATAATAAAAATATATATAATGATGACATAAAAATAAAGTATGCTGAAGAGCTAATCCGATCGTGTAGGCTTCCGAATAAGGCTTTGGTGACTTGTACAAGGTATGATCTGACCGAAAACAAGTAGCTAAATTAATACAGAAATTTATTACAAATTAATGTGTCATAGTGGATCGCAATAAAAGCCAGTATAATATTAAATTCGAACCACCCAAAATTATAAATCTCGGTGGGTCAATTATTCTGATTTAAAATTTAATATTTATCTTTAAATTTACACCTATATAAATGTATAATTGCATACATTAAATATTCAATAAGATATTCGAAAAAATCTTATTATAATGTATTTTATTAATATTTTTATAGTTGTGCTATTTATTTTACTTGAATTTATTCAAAGTAAAATTGTTAAGCATTTCTAAATTTCTAGAATAAAAACACTAACATATATTTAAAAATAGTGTATATAGTAAGCTAAAAAGCAATGATAATGTAGTGTTAGTAGTTCAGTACCGAATAATGAAAGTATATATTCAAATAATACTGAAAACCAAAATTCCTATTTGGAACATATTAATAGTCATTTTTACATGGGTAAATCAACTGTAAATTATAAGTATCATGTAGTGTTCATATGTTCATTAAAAAAAATTTAAATCGTACATTATAGTATAAATGTATTAAAGAAATATATTTCATATCATATTAACCATGTCTATGTAGTATAATTGTAATCATTTTAATATTTTGAGTTTTATTTTTTTTTGTATAGCTTATATTCGTGAAAAAATATAAAAGCATAACAGATTTAATGTGACAAAAGTAAAATGAAATTAGAAATTAGTATTAACTACACAAATAAGTCGATATGGAATTTAATATTTTTTGGATTTAACGTACATAATATTAATTTATACTTATAAGCCATAAATCGTATATTATTATTATCTAATACCTATGTATAGTTTATTTAATTGACTTATGAATATATAATATAGTATAATAATATAATATATATAGTGTTTAATATTTCTAATATTGAAATAAAAATTTTCTTTATATTTTTTAGTAAAATTATATTTATTAAAAATATTTTTTTTGTTATTTATTTAAAATATTTTTTTAAAAAAAGGAAAACATTTAAAATACTAAAGCTGACTACAAAAATGTTTTAAAATTATGTTCTCAGGTATGAAAAAATAAGATATAAGTATATTTTTTAATAAGTAATATAATTAAAATCACTATCAAAAATTAAAATAATTGTTTATCATTACTTTAGTAATAAAATATATAATTTTACAGTACATGATTTATATTGATATGTATCATTATGAAAATGAGAGAAAATTAAATAATTATTGTTCTATTAATTATATATATCTCACTTAAAACAATATACTAAATGTTTTAAAATAAATTTATCTGAAGAGGAGCATTCAAAATAAAAAAAACTATATTAGGTAATTAATTGATATTTATACAAAGCTACTTTGGAATACCGCATGGTAACAGAACGTCTTTACTTAGTTATTTATTTTTAAACGTTTTTTGAATTAAATAAATAAACTTAGTAAACTGTTGTACATTTATTTCTATAAATTAAGTGTACATTTTTAGCATATTAAAATTGAATAGAGTTTATTTTTGAGACTTACTTTGTTAAAGAAGATTGTTTCGAACGTCACTTATCCAGTGGAAAATAACTGTTCGAAAATATTTATAAGAAATAAAATTCAAATTTACATATAAATATTTCTATATTCGTAAACTTTACACACGCGATTTTACTATTTTATTTTTCATACGAACACGAGAACCGGTCTATCCGCTGGTACAGTTCACGGCACACTGTTTCTCCACGCTATGGTGTACACCGGCACCGACACCGACACCGACAACATAATCGTATGGCAGCACCCACTATTATTATTATTGTTTTTTTCCCCGACCGTTTCGTGTGCTTACTTATTAGGATTATAACGTCATTTTAATTTCATCGATTGGTCTCTATGTAGACAGTAGGTAGGCACTAACTTTTTGTAATACATATTAAACAATGGCCCGTGCGCGTTGATTTAAAAATCAATAAATATAAAAACTACGTTTCAGAATTAAAAAATATAATCGTGTACACGAAACATTCAAACGAACGGGTAATTTGTACCGTTTAATATAAAAGCGGACGTAATATATATATATATATATATATATATATATATACATTTTTCGTGAACGCATACGCGTTTTATTATTATTTCACACGTCCGGTGAATAAGATTATGCAATTGTATTTATTATTGTAAAAAATGTGTACACCTTTTACATACACTTGACATTGACCGACCTAGTTTGGTAGGTCAGTATTAAGTGGCATCTACGGTTACCAAAGCTCCGCACGAAACTGCGTTTAGCGCACCTAATCGACATTGGACCTTCTGGAGGAACCAATGAATGGACTCCTAATTTTATATGCCTACTGTTCACATTTTTATACCGTTTTAAATTCGAAAAAGGAAAATTGATAATGACGAAAGTGCGATTTCGGTTATAATTGATTGACTCTTCTCATTTTGATGAATTCCGGCTATTCCGTGGCTACATGACGTAGCCCACCAGAGACTCAAATAGGGAAGAATTTTTGGGCTTTGAGTCCACGAAAAATTGTTGATGGCTTTCTTAAAAATCAACGAAAAAAATAATTTAAAACGATACCGTAAAAAGTGACAAATTAAATAATTTTGTTTTATTTTTCCTGCGGTACATTATGTTGCTCACCAAAGATTTACGTTTACATATTTTTTCCAGTTGTCTGTGTTCGTAACTCAACAATAATCCGCATTTGGATTCTATCTTAGTATAGCCTCTCCCCCCCCCCCCCCGGAATTCGAACGTGATTTGCACCTGTGTCGCCCAACACAACAACAGCACGACGTTATCGTTGGCGATATATAACGATACGTACGATGATCATCACCGTCACGTTCATTTACCAACAACTACCCGACCTGGTAACCTTTGTGTATTGATCTAATACACGTATAGAAATAAGGTAAATTACGAACGGGTAGTCGTTAAGTCGAAGAGTTTTGTGCTGACGTCTATAGCAAGAATCAGAACAGCGACCACGTTAATGATATCGTCACGGCATATTGTAATCAAGTGGAGACCGCCATACACATACTAATACGTAAATGAACTCGATCCACGAAGAGAATTTCGATTCGGCGCGTGTGTACAGGACACAACGATACGTGCCGTAAACATTGGGACAGGTCTAGTGATTTCCGTTATTATGGCATACATTATAAAATTTGATTTGGGTGCCGTTCGCGATATTGTCATCACATATCACACGACGTGAACCGGTGGTCGTCGACCGTGCAGTTTCTCGGCTTTCTTTCGGACCGGAACGGGTTATCTTCACGGTTGGAGGTCAGAGTTAAAACGGGTCGTCAATCGGACGGTAAACTTCTTCGGCGACGGCCGTTTAACCTTCAAAATGGCGCCCGTACGCGCACGTACAGGTGGGCGACGACGCGTGTGTGTGCACCCGTGTGCGTGTGTGTTCACGTATGTTTGAGAATGTGTGTCCGTTCGGTTGCGCGCGTGTACGTCCATCCGTATTGCATGGGTTATAAACAAAACGCAGGAGTTTTTGTAGGTCAGTCGGAAGCGCACGGGGAAACTGGTTTCGGACGTACGCGCGCGCGCGCTTATCATTGTCCGCAGTCAGCTGATCGACGAAAAGTGTTACACCGTTCACAAAACCGTATGCACGTTCGGGTCTTGTGCATAATATTGGAAATCATTATATATATATTTTTTTTCACTCCTTCGCCCCGAGCTCGAGTGCACGCGCGGTACGCACAACATCCTGTTTCCATTCGTTTCGGAAGTTTACGACGGTCGCGACCGTAAGAAACCATTCCCCGATCTAGTGGTTTTTTTAAATTTTTTCACTATAATATATATCTTACGTAATCGTTGCTACTTACCATTTGTAAATGGGTCCTTGGTTTCCTGTTCACGTCCGGCAACCGATGATTGCCTGAAAATCCGTAAAAGCGACACTTAATAATATTATACGTAATATGACATATGGATTTTGGGGATTTCCGTACATTTAGCCTCGTAAAACCGAACGCTATAAAGAAACCTAACGCAGTGCCAAGCATTAAGTCGGAACCGTTGATCACTGCATTAGTTTGATATTTATTTCTTACCTCATCGAATTCGTATATTTATATATATATATATATATATATATATGTTTGAGTTCCTCGACCCTATCCCCGTATGATTTTCTAAACTCAAAAACCAATTTTTTTTTTTAAATATGTTTTTACCAAGCAAAAGTAATAAAATCGTTTTACAAGATGGTTTAAATAGTTTTACCCGAGTTTTATTCATACTCGAAATGAGTGTAGTGTGAGCTCTATTATAAATTATAATGTCTGTACGTAATGTAATTTTATCAATACGAAAAGAAATTAAATTAATAGTGCATTAAGCGAGCTATAATTTTCCGGTATTAAACAATTAAAAAAAAAAAAAAATTACTCATATCTACATAATAATTGAATATAATCAGTTGATTAAAAAATATAATGTTTCAAATCGTTGCAAATCGGTTTAAACGTTTTAAGGAAAGAAAAATGATATGTATATATATTGAAACAATTTCCTTGTAATTGTATTATACATGATTATATATTTATAGATTATTGTAAATCGTATATGTTGGACATGTATGGTGCAGTAGTAAGCCACGTTTACCAATCGGCACTGCGGTTAAGCTGCTTGTCCAAATATAGGATGGGTGAACACTCGGGATTTTATGCCCCCACAAGCAAACCACGAGTACCAAAATGCCCAAAACACTAAACGTAATCCTAACCGATACATCTGTTTCAGCCGTTTCACACCCAATGGCCTAAGCTTCAGCGGGTTGATTAAGTATATTTTTGCAAATAAATAAGGATTTATGTGTAATGTAAAAATCGCAATGAACGTTAATATTTGATTAAACCAACTTCTTATACTATAATTTTTTTAACGGTACAACATGGATTTATTTTTAATTCCTTTTGTGGTATTATAAAATAATAGATTATGCTATTACTTATAAAGATGGTTACTAATTGTACTACGTTCATTACACTATATTATACTATATTATACCATAGTGATTAGAAATTAATAAGATATGAATATTTTAATTCGAATTTATGTAATTATCCTGACGAATTCCATTCTATTAACATCAAATGTAGGTACTCACAAATAGTTTCTACGAGATCCGAAAGCAGAACACCGTCGGCCAAGTCTGATTGTAAATCTTTAATATTCCTTTTCGATTTAGCTTTATCCAAGTAATGATTTGCCCAATCTGTGTACACCTGAGATGAGTAAATTATTATAGTTAATCTAATAATGAATATAATACAGCGATGTATGGTGTATGCAGTGGCGTGACAAAGGACTTTATTTGTTGCACATGCTTCAATTTAAAAAGGTGATGGGTGTCCCCGGTCTGGGAAATTTAATGTTTTTGAGCTGTGAAAGGGATTTCAAAGTTGATTTTAAAGAAACAATAATGAAACTTGGAAGATCATTATTCTACTTTTTATAACATAAACAAATTTTTTTTTTATGATACAGGTACGAGTATCCAATAGATGTTTGCAATGAAAGATTTATTATACAATTATTTTTTATCGTTCGCATTAGGTATGCCTCAGCATTTTAATTGGGTGAAAAGGATGCTTACAACATTTTAGCAAAAGCCTTAATTATGAAGATCGTTTTAGTATTTTGGGCCATAAATAATGAAAGTTTTCATAGTAATTAATGTCTAAATGAGATCGTTAATCGTTACCCGGGAAACACTGCTGTTCTCAGACACTTTACCCGTAAATACTAAATTTCACTATAATATCCAACTGAAAGTTTCAAAAGTAACTAACAGCATTATAATTAAAAGGAATGATAGAAATGGTAATAATAATAATAATTAAACATTTTCAAATTTATAAAAATATAAAATATATCGATATCGTGTTGCGGTTGTTTCCATCATAATGTAAATAACAAAGTCGAGATAATTAGGAGATAATTGTAACTGCTCAAAATAATAAGTGAAATTAACAATAATTTATTTTAATGGACAAATTATTTTAAGCATACACTTAAAACACGTGTTTTATAAAGTGAGCTACAATGTATTTATGTAGATTTAGTAGGCTAATGTCCGATTATTTCAGGCGCTCATTGCTAATTAAATCGATTAGAACATTCATCAGGCACTGGATAAATTAATCAACGTATAAAATAGATTTTGAAATTAAAGCACACTGTTTTATTTTATTTTTATTAATCCCTTAATATTTAAATCTAATATTTTCACTCAATGATAGTCGATCACTCAATTTTCGATATTTAAATAGCAAATTAAGTATAAGATTTTAACTGATTTTTATCGTATATTTTTTCTAAAATGTTAAATTACATATAGTAAAAATTCGTTAAATATAATTACTGAATGAATATAATTACACGAATGTTTATCGATTTAAAAATTTAATTTTAAAGTAATTTCACTTATAAACACTACATTTTTTAACGTTGAGATTTTGATAAATTATTTTATTTTACCCTCCAGTTTAAGTCAATTAAATCTGAAACTAAATATGCAGGAGCATTTTGTCCAATAATTTCGTATAAAATATCACCTCGGACAAAATTACTTTGTAATTATTTTTTTTTTTTTAACATAATTTGATCATCCTCATACAATAATTACTTTAATTATTTGTGCATATTGTTGTTGATGATTCTGCACATTGTTATCATTTCGGACTCCCGTCCGGGATACCCTGATGCATCCCGACATTGGTTATAACGGTTTTCTTTGACGAGCTCATTCAACTAAAATTGATAAAACACAATACATAGAAAATTAATTAATTTCGTTTATGTAAATATATGTAATTATAAATTATTTTTCTTCAAATAAATAAATAAAAATGTTACTGAAAATAAATCTTTAAAATCCATAATTCAAGTAATTCATCGTATATTTGGATATAAAATTTTTAATATAACACACAATGGTTCTAAATATTAACTATTGATCTTTATATGTTAAACATTTTTATTACTTGCTTTCGACTACACATATAAATAGTAACATTAATAGTTTGTAAAAAATAGTCTAATTATGTAACTGAAATTCTAAATAAATCATTTAAGCTAAAATCCTTATATCTAAAAAAACAATTTCACCACAAAAAGGGTACGTACATTAAACTATTAAAATTAATAGAATCCTAAAATAGACAAGTTTTATGAATCTTTAAAATCAAAGGTAGATCTTATTGAAATCGTATGAGTACTATATCCAGACGTGTTACTGTTTAAAAATATAACATAGCCAGCATGTGCGTATCTGCGTATGTCTTACCGAAAAGTAATGTATTTTTTTTTATTTTAGTTTGTTTTTTATGGACCGTATCCAAGTGATCTCCATTAGATTGTTGGCCATTAGGTGACTGGAGTGAGTATTCCTGAAACAAAATAAACAAACATAAAATAAGTCATACAAAGTAAAGTTTACATTTAAAAATATATAGTAGAACACTAAATAATAATTATTCTTGATTTTGTAAAATATACATCGTAAAGTATAGAATATGTTAGGTACTAAATATGGTTCAAGAAGTTGTTCCGTCCAAATGCGCTAGTATGTTAACGCTAACTAATATTTAATGCTATCATAACAGTATTATACATCTGTAATTGTAGAATATACAACAATACTAATAATATAGTTATAGTATTACAGAAGAGTAATTAATAATAATTACTAGACGTGTTACCCTGCTGCGATATGAAAATTCCGGAAAGTTTATTATTATGCTAATGAAGGTCTAAAGGAGATCAGCATCTTTTTAGCGTTGAAAAATAAAAATCTTTATTCGAGCAAAAATGTTTAGAACTACGGTATAAAAGTAGTCATCTACTATACTATGTTTTATGATTACAGAGATCGTATGAATTTTCGTAAAATTCAGCCCGCTTACGAATAAAATCGAACTCCCACGTACTCATTATATGATAAAATAATACGTTGACTATGTTATTATAGTCACATCATTATTATATCTGTTTCTGTTCGTGATTTACGCATATTTACGATGATGTATACAATTTGATTTTCTTACTATCTGACTACTATTTGGACTCTACGTTTTGTTTGTACTCGTATATTATTGAACATTGATAAAATATAAAATTATTAAATATTATATTAAACGATCATTATCATTTTGAATACAGAGTGTAAATGATTAGCGAGCACACGAAATAATATTAATGTTTTATGGTTTTTATTTTTCTATGTTATTATACGTGGTGCACGAAATATTTGAATACGAAAAACAACTTACTATATATTATTAGAATTTTAGAGTGTTAATACTGTGGCAATGCTATCATTTTCTCATTCATACACACGTACATATAGCAACCCTATTTGTATCCTAGCATTTTGCACGGTAAACTTAATAATTCCCCTTGCGCATACATACAAGACCCTTTTTGTTGACAGGAAAGTGAAGGCCACGCGAAAAAGTATGTATGTGTATATACTTGTGTGTGTGTGTGTGTGTGTGTATAATACATTTATATATATACCTTTTCTTTCTGTGAAGCCAAGGAAAGTTTACTCTTATCCGTAATATTTCTGAGACCGAGGGAGCACTGTAATCTGCGGGGCCCCCGAAACGGACAGAAGATGAGGCGAGAGTAGGCGGAGAATTGCATTACAAATCGACTGAGTCGTTTCTCGTGTGCAGTGTGTAGTAAGGTTTTAAGAAACGCCTGGAGGTCTTGCCAGTATAAAGCTAAGAAACTTTTTATTTTTCACGTTCAAAGGTCGCTTTTACGACCTCAGCAAAATCACCGGATTTTCTTATTAGTTTTTTTTCTTCGGCCTAATCTAACGCACTCGGAGTCTGTGCTTTTAATCAATTTGGACAAGTTTTTTTTCTCCGTTCCACAGGGGCCTAGGAGGGGGGCAAAATGTAACAACAGTGAATTATATAGTTTTACAACAAATAATATTTCACGGTTATTTTCTTCACGTCTCGCCGATTTGCATTTTCCCTGTTTTTACTCGGTCTCCGAAACCATAAAGAAAAGAACATTATGCGAAAGGATCCATGAAAAATAAATTACACGGGAATAATGGCACCGTAAAGAGCCGACGGTTGTGGCATTTATAAAAAGGCTTTGCAAACAGTATCTATAACATGTACCAGCTACGAACTATTTCAAATAAATTATTGCTCTTCTCTAATCTCGTATTGTGAACACAAAGGTAAAGTGAAAATGTCATTAGAAAATGTTATTTTTCGAATCAAAATGTATTATTTTCCACATAAACATACTAAAAATATTATATTCGAATAAACAGTGACACCTTTAATGCGTCCGTTTTTTTTTATTTTATTTTCTTGCACTCACTAATTCAATATTTGCATGATGACTTAACGCATTGAGTAGTTTGATGTGTGTTGACACGCTATCGGTTAATCCAACCTCAACAAGTACACACTGCAGCTACAAAGCAAGTTAATATTTAATTACTATTTAATATAAATACGTATTATGGGTTTAGAAGTGTGTTGTACATCGCAAGATTTTACACGTTTCAAATATGATGAACTTAACTGTATTGCACGTTACGTAAATTGTGATTTAGGGTTAGGTGTAAAAAAATAAAATTTAACGATAATTTTTTTTTAAAAAGGAAAAATTTGCTGAATCTTCATTAACTTATTATAAAAGTTTTAAATTTTTTACTGTTTACCGTATCTTATAATGTATTTTTGGATATCATGGCATATTTAAAAATTATAAATATTCATTATTTAAAAAAAATAAAATATTTTTTCAAAAGTTATTAATACACGTACTGCAATAGTATCATGTACATTACAAATCATTTAATATTAAAATGTTATTGACTAAGTTAACAGAAGGCTGTTTATTTAGTATTATTGATTATTTATACCTCAGAGGAGATAAGGCTTGTAAACATAAAACATTATTTAAACGTGTGAAATAACTTTTGCTCTAAACTAGTTATTTATTTATTTATTTCCACAAAAGCTGTACGCATTTTATATATGGTTATATTTTATTCGTCATATACATAAATTGCATATAAGAATAAACGTATATATGTATAAACATAAATACGTACACATATATATATATAATATTGATCCAAAAGGAGACACGTGTTGCGAATAAAACTAATACACATGAGACTGTCGGTAAACGTAGAATAGCAAATATCGAAAAACGTAAGTTTTAAAGTTTATTCAGTGAATACGCGTAAGGAACTTTTACCGAACTTCACTGTATGTACTACAATAACATATGACATGCCCATTAATAAGAATTAATCGCCACTAACACGCTAAAACATAAGATTGGTTTTACTAGAAAAGCTTTTTGGGATTTTAAGGTATTTTCCCGAATTTATGGGGGGGGGGGGGGGGGGGTATAAATTTTGGTCAGACATTCGTACATATTGGGTAGAAGTGGAAAATGTGGAAAATCGAGTTTTCCGAGCAAAAACGGTCTGCACTAGTAGTTTATTTATTGGACGGTCGAGTTTCTCCCGGGAGAATTAAGTTTTCCAAGGCCCGCTCCCGGCTGATTTAAAAGCACCTGGATGAAGTAGTCCTTTACACACAACACTTGCTAACAGTGTACCTTTCGCGCTTGAACGAAACCAAGCAGCAGCAAAGTTTTCCGAGCATGTCCAATTATAACTCGTTGATCTGAATTATAGCCCCTCTTCTCCTTATTCGGGACAGTAATAATCGGTTATGATCAAATGCGGATCATATTAAGTGAAGTAAAATATCGAAATTACACTTTTCAATAAAAATTCATCATATTCTTTTCATTCCTTTATAATAATTTCATCGATACATTAAAATAGTAAAACATAGTAAAAATTGTGTCAATAAAAAATGTGAATATATTAATATTGAGTGATGAGTCGTAACGAATATATTAAACATATTTTACAATTATTATTAATCAATAAATTGAATATGGAAATAAATGTGAGGTAAACGCGTTTTGATGAACACGGGTTTCAAAACTGCAAAACGTCATATTAATAAATAATTAATGAAGATTTTCTTACCCATTTATCATTCCTTTTTATTCACCGGATGCAAAGTGATCAGGGTACTTTCAATGGTATAAAACAAAGTCAACGATCATAATAAATTATACAACATATTAAAATGAAAAATAATAACTTGCAAGTTCGAACGGTATTGAAAATTGATAAAGTTGGAGCTTCACAAAATTATATTTTCGTAAAAGATTCTGTAACACACTATATAATTTTCAGATTGTACTAAACGTTCGTATACGTTAATATTAAATAATAACAAATAAGTATAAATATATTTTATTGCATTTACTTATTATTTTTGATAATTAACAACTACAGTTCGAATTTTACTGAAATAATTGTACAAATGTATTTGTAAAAGCCAATAAAGCAAAATATAGAGACAAAATATGTTTTTGATTATACACGTGAAAATATGATAAAATTATTGGTTCAAGGACTGTAGTAATAAAGGAATACATTTAATAAATAAATTAAGAAATACAAATAATATTAGGAGTATAGTGATATTATTTATATTCGAATAATATTGATATATATTTAGAGAGAAGAGTTTCTAGATCGAAAGTAAGAAGAGAAAAAGGGTGACTAGAGAACAGAAAATAGAATTAAAATCATTCAAAGCTTCGGAGGGGAGATGAACGATAGAAATCTGTAAGCTGGATTTTTATCTTGCCGATGTAGGTATACGATGCACGTTTTGGCCGAAAAGTAAAAGCGTTTAGAAGTAATAAATAAATAAAAATAGAGTGCATTTTAAATTGAATAGTAAAAAATAAAAATAATATCGATAAACTATTTGAATATTTATTAATGATTGACAGTTAATTAGTTTTATTATTTATCTCGATAGACTAACATTTTATTTTTGTATATGGTATATTTTATTCTTTTACATATGTTGTGAATAGAGTTGCCAATTTTTATTAAAAGATAAGCGGGAAACCAGATATTTATATCCTGGTCTTGACAAAAAAAAAAAAAAGCGAAACATGTCTTCAAATTTACAGAAACGAGAGAAAAAAGATTTTAATATTTTTTATCAGTTTTATTTAAAATTTGAAATAAAATTAATAGAATAAATGCTATTTTAAAGTAATCATAACAAGTCTTTTTTTAACACAAATCAGTAAATATAGTGCTTTGCCCAATTAAATAATACATTTTTCTTTTCAGAGAATACTTGTGATTTGGCACACTTGAGCATTTTTTTATTTTTTACATCATAATTATAAAATTCTTTACAATTACACTGAAAATTCATTTTTATTTGCAGTTCTGCCTTAATGTGCTCAAAATTTCTTAAATCAGTTTAGGCATTTCTACAAAATGAAAATATTA